CATCGGCCCTATTGGGCCTTATCAGTGATGGTCTGAGGCGCGTGTGAAAAGTCGTGAGGTTACTATGGCGTCTCTCTAGTCAGATCTTTAGGTTACATGGAGATTTTTTGACTATCACGACACTACTAGTTTAAGGAAATCGCGGTTGACTTATGCTTAAATATTTTGATTACAGAAGTAATTTCACTACAACCCATCGTATTTTTAGTATAATTAGAGATAATTACTGTAGTACACATTCAAGTACAGTTATCTCTTACTATATTTACTAAAATAATAAACTTTGTATAAGTAAGCTCGTCTTGTAAGTCTCATCGCTAGCCTATTCATAAATTTCTCGGAAGCGTTGCTTTGACGGAAGTTTATTATAATTCTAATACTATGAAGGTATTTATATAATTACCTAAATTACGTAGAGATACTTTGATCTGGCAAATAAAACTATAACTGAAATTAAAATAAGAATATTATTTTGTTAAGAAACCCAGAAAGAAGGTTAATGAAGTATGGAGTTTTGGACCTTTCCTAAAGGTTATTGTGGAAAAGCAGGACTCAAACATCCTGAAAGCATTTATACGGGCTCAAATTTTGTAATCTTTTTCTTTTACGTATGGACATTGAGATGGCATAAAGACTATATTATTATTATCATTTGTATGTCTTTACCATTCATGGGACCACAGGGTCCCGGTCATTTGGGAGGCGTACGAGGGGCCGGAGCAAACTGCGCAGAAGCCCTTTAGACAACTTTGATCTAAATGAAATGGGACACAAACCGGTGACTATCCCTGTATGCACTATGGAAGCACATCCAAGAACAGTCCCCGGTTAGTAGGACTATTGCCGATAATGGAAACAAAGGATAAGGCTAGAGTGTGGGTTGTTCTGTACAGGTATAATAGAAACTATGAAAGGACTATGCACCTGCCAAAACAATTTAATTTATACACATAGAAATAAAAACTATTTTATAAAATTTCCTATTACGAAATGTAGATAAAAAATAAATTAGGTATGTAAAAAATACGATTAGGTTTATTTACCTATGTTTATTTAATACGTTTCCGATTGATACGAAAATGTTATCAGTTTGTCAAAAAACAGGTGTCAGGTGGTAGAAGTTTAAAGAACAAGTTTCCTTTGAGATTTTATCTAGAGTAAGTACATACTTTGATAAATGTAGTGACGTAATCAGACGTATGCATGCCTGTATATATAATATAGACAATGATAAATTCAAAATTGCGTCATGGAGATAACAAAAACCCGATCGTCAAGATACCTACTAAAATCTATACAATACCAAGAACTGATTTTTCAATGGTCGGTAAATGCTATGTGAGGAATAAAATTGTTGCTGTCACTGTCTTATACAAACATTATGACGCGACAGCATCATAATTATTGCCCAGGTAACTTTTATCTATCCATTGAAAAATCAGCCCTAACTAAAATAAATATTTTTAACGTTACCTAAAATTGTCAATACCCAGAATTTATGCAACGCCAAAACCAACCTGTCGAAGCACGACATACGCAGATACGCGGTATAAAATAAAACAATTGGACTAAAAAATAAATAAAAATCACCCCACAAGATTCGGTTACATGCCCAAAACGAAAATAGTATAAAAAACGTGAACATTGAAAAACTTTTCAAATCGTGACGAAGCACAAACAGTAGGTAGGTACATACATTGTCCTATATATTAAGATTTTATTTTTTATTTTTTACTTAACGTGCATTATCTTCTCACGTAATTTTTGATACCTATCAAATAATCCACTAACCGGTGTCAACTAAAGAAATTAATCATCAACTTAAAACGAAAATGTATCTTACAGTACAAACCACAATCACAAAATATCAGTTGCTTTGCGATTACCTAGATTTTCTCCAAAATAGCTGCATTGGATCGATATACGTCCATTATCTCGCTGGTCTGTTGATACAAAGATGATGAGTATTTAGCCGCACATCCAGGGATGTCAGGCGCACAAACATGAGGTCAGAACAAACAAGGCCTTGTTGACAGCGGGTCGCGTGCGGCGATCGCATGTCAACCCTGTCGATACCCGCCGCATCACTCGTACTTTACAATGCATATTGACGGAAAACTGACAATATTTCATGTCATCCTCTGTTGAAAACCTTGTTTTGCACAAACTTTATCTTTGCGTTTTCTGAATCAATGGTTCTTTCTATTGAAAACGCAATCGGTTGTAACGACTTTGATGCTTTTCCTAGTACAAGTGGGAAGTTCGATAATTTCCGAATTGATGCTAAGTTCTTGTGTTTTATTAAGAATTGGAATGCAAAATGAGGTATCTATCGTGATTATAAATGTTTTATTAATAACCCTCTTACTCTGAACACTGACTTACTGACTTATCATAACGTTGAAAAAGAGATATTCTTCTCGAACCAAAACTCAGATTTTATTTAATTTGAAAATTTATTTTAAGTATTCATTAATGCTAACAAATATTCATAGCTGAGTGAAGCTACAAAGTCTCGAAAAGGATAAAAATGTGAACCGATTTGCGTAAAGAACAAATTCTGAGCGAAACACGGATTAATTCATTTCTCAGAGGGATTTCCTTTCAGTTTAAAGAGCACTCGCCCTTGAATAGGCATCGAGTGGGTTCTGAGGTCGGCTTAAGTGGGAAAGACTTAATTTAGGAACTCAGAAGCTAAATAAACAATATTAATAATTAATTTCATTCTATGATTTTCATTTTCAAATCACGTTAATTAAGGGTTGTATAATTGATGGTGGAGCTGTAGGTACAAGAGATGGTATGTAAATAGGTTGTTAGGTATTCATTTTACTGATTTAATTTAAGTATAATTTTATTGTAAAAATATATTTTGTAGAATTTCGTACCCAGTTGATGGTGTAGACGGTATGTATCCTGTTCTGCTCGCGTCGTTATTCACTCTACAATTTCGTTTACACTTACTTAACTTACTCTCAATGTATTTAGAAACAGACTCGTAAATACCGAACACCCCACTCATGAGTGCTTTCTGCGGCTGTCCAGAACACGCTCGCGGCTATCACAAACAAACTTTAACTTTGCTTTTAAGAGCAACTGTAGATTTATTTAAACTTTCACTAAATGAGCATCCCTTTATTTTCAAAGTCCATAATTTCCACACAACGCTACGTCTACCGTAATCTATTTAACTTGTAAACTCACGTTGTTATTACTTAAGCATTATAATTTATGAATTTTTCATTCGATTTACTCGTAAACGCGTTTCTATCGAGTTCAAAGTTAGTTAAAGGGTCACGAGCTCCGTCGTCGATTCATAAAAGTTTCATTTTCACGAAACTGGGGGAATAATCAATGGGCAAGCAGAAAGGGCTCTGTGGGCCGTGATGGATTTGGTCCAATCAATGCAACTGGGTAAATGAAAAGAGCGCCTAACGAAGAGTCCAGACAATAGTGTCGGCGGGCGAAAGCCTTAGAACGGGATAACTGATTGTTATTGGTTTTGCAATAGCGCCACACGGCGGTGGTTGCCGACATTGGTAAATACTGAAAAATAAATTGCTGTTTTTGTGTGGGTAAGCTCGCCTTGCCCTGGGGCACCGATGTTATAAGTATTCGCCCGTATCAAAATTACCCATACGTTCGTAAATGGATTTTCCAGTGGCTACATTCCAATAATAATAAAAATAGACTTTCATTTTATGTTCTAAACAAAGCGGTAGGCAAAATGGCCTTGTTTACAAACAAATTATTCTTTAATCCATCATTCTGTCGATAGCACACGCGTCGGGAAAGTTATTTTGTTATTTTATTATCTTTAGCAAGAATCTATTCCCACTCATGTACCTTCGCAAATTAGAGTCCGTACAAGTAATACATCATGCTTGATTCGAGCGCGATTAATCCATTTTCTCCAACAATAACTGCTCAATAAATGATTTTCTCCATAAGGATAATGGCTGGATTTTCTACTGTTTATTGTGGACTCAATCTTCTACTATGATTGATTGAGGCTTAGGTGGAACTCTTCCAAGGGGAAATTACTTCGTTATTCTTCCTAAGTACGTGGCTGTGAGCGGGAATGTTGTCTATCAATATACTCAGTGTTATATTATTTGTTTGATGTTCGTCCTACCATGTGTATTATGTAATTGGACGAGTGTCAGGCTTGTATTCTAAAAGCCATAATGATGTAATTATTTTATTGTCACTTTTTGATGTTGTGAAGCAATTTTAACGGGAATGATATAAGATATTGAGGTATAAAAAAGGGAAAGAAGAGAATTGGCATATTACAAAAATAAAAAGTTTTTATAGACAAATCCAACATATTTCTTTATTCTATTCATTCATATTCATTTACATAGTTTTAGACATTATAAACTATTTATTTACAATGTTTTAATAACAAGTATCTAAACTTATAGACACGTCCGACATTTAAATTCATCTTAAAAGTGATAAAAATGTTCCTTTAATCGAAATGACGAAGGTGGTTGATAAAATTATTATATATAACAATAAAACAGTTCATATTTAAATACAGTAAATAAATTTTATACAGAGAAAACTGAACCGCATGACATGTATCTTCCGCGTTTTATCTTTATTCATCAGTCTTTGTCAAGGGTAAAAAATATGCCCCAACTTATAATGAAATTAAATTTTCTTTTACAATAAGTATAGGTATACACAGTTGATACTTTGCAAGTATGGAAGATAAGGATGTGTACAAGGTACTTTTCAAACATAGTTTTACAATTAAACTAACAATTTTAATTTATTAGCTATCACATTATTATATACAATTAGTCCGCGACATCAACGTTAAACGTCTCGAAGATATAGGTAGATTTTTAAATTGAACAAATTCTGTGGTATTAATTACGACTTTATTTGTATTTTGTATTAGGTTTTTTGTCCCAAAATGTTGAAATTTACATTAGAAAAATGCATTAGTGACAGTTGTTCATTTTTATTCTAGGTTTTTTTATTTTATTATCGGACAACCTCTACGAAGTGTATAATAATAATTCATCTAATCTTACATTCGGATTAATTCTTTATTAAATCTATTTGGCCAGTTTGACCTAAGACTAAAAATATTATAAACAATTCTCTTTTTAATAAACAATATGAATATTATTTACGATATTCGCTTCACTATCTACTTTTAAAAATAAAATAATGTGGTACAACGAAATATACGTATTACATAAATTCATGAGATTGGATATGTTCAATGAATTTGTACACAATGAGAGTTATTTTAATGTGAATCGTATTTAAAATAACTTTGTACTTAATTAGTAAAGTTGTTGAACGAACTACCGGATACTGTACAGCAGTGGAATGAGGGTGGTTGGTATTCGCCAAAGTCTCCTTGAATCTGAAACAATATTGGAAAATGTTATCCATGCATTACTCAATGGCATTTATTTCGCCAGGTAAAAAGAAGCTCACATAGCTTTTATTTTTTATGTTGAGGAAATTCAATCAATCAAGACAGATAACACATTTATTCAGTACAAACAATAACAGACAAAAATTAATTGACAAATAAGTGGGTACACAATGCAAATTAACAAAAATAACACAAAATATAATCAAACAAAAAAAAATAACGATATAGAAAATAACGTATTAGACAGGTATTACGAAAGAAAGAACATAAAGAACGAGAAAAAAGAAAAAAGCAATGACACACTACACAAGAGAGAGTGTCAGACTCTTACTGACTCAAATAAAAAACCACCCAGTTCCTTCTCCTGATGCTGGCCAAGGCCGCGAAGTTGACATAGCTAATGTAAGAATCGAAAAGTTATGACCATTAGATACATTTAATTATCAATCTAATGTTTTACACCGTGTACCATATCAGACTCTAGTTAATATGATTTTTCACTATAACAGGACACCTAAAAACTATTGCTCAATAGTTGTGCTATTGACCACTGGACCCACGAAGCATTTACCGCTAAAATTGAACAATATTTCCGATAGTAAATAAAAGACTTATTGTATGAAGAAAATGTATCAGGAATACGTGTTCAGTGTCCTATTTATAGTGCTGCCAGGGGAAATTTGCTCGAGATCTAAACCGCATTACCGGACTGTGCACTTTTATCCAAAGCGGTCCGCGGCTATTTAGGTCCTGTGTTGCACTTTATTTTTATATTTAGTTGTATATTAGATAGTGTGTGTTCTTAGGTTGGAAGAATACCCACAACCTTAGTATGAAGGGTACCATGTTTAGTCACTTGCGTGTAGTTATTTGTGCTTCTATTTGATTGTGATATTAGATACAATTATATAGCCTTTATAAAACCTTTTAAGGTGGAATCCCAACTGAAACTTTATTTCTGATATCTTATTATCACGTACCTCAATAATGTAGAAGAAAATGGTAACACATGTTGGGCAATGTTACAACTAAAGCCAAGACCTAGTATTACAAAATGATATGAGAAAGGGGTTAGTGTTTTATCCCGGCGCTATTTCGCGAACCGAAGTCGCTACACAAGTATCGATTGCACTTACCTACTGCTCTATTACGGACGCCTAGCACGGAGGCAACCTCTGGTTGCTCCATATCGAAAATTAGTTCGGCGCGTGCCGCGTACAAGTTGTATATGCTCGCTATGCAGGTCAGCCGGAGACTGCCACGCTCAAACGCCTCGTTGCGAACCACGAACGACACGTCCCCGACAGAAGGCAGTCGGTTATCTGGTCCCGTTCTCTCAAACGTCGGCTTCAAACTCTCCTTCGGAGGCCTTCTGATCTCCTCTTTATGCAAATTTATATACGACTCGTCCAAATATTGAATATTCCCTTCATCATGAAAAATATTGAAGTTCACATCATCGTCTGGCTGCTCAGTAGTCGTCGTTTCAGCCTTCGGAGGAGGATCCCATTTGAACCATGTCGGCAACTCGTGTACCACGGTCTCCATGTCGATCTGAGAAAAATACAATATAATAAAATACTGAGACGCACCCAGCGGTGGAGCGGGAAATATTACGGATATTACACAGCTCTACGTTAGATAAAGGAAGCTTATATAGCTCTGAGCTGTTTTGTGATTAATGAACTCGCCTACGCAGCGGGCAGTGACGCCGGCAAAAACAACGGTCGCATCAAAGTAAAGCAAGTAGAAACTGGTCCATTGTTCGGTCGTGGACATGGCGGACCCTGTCTGTACGAGTAGTCGCCCGCTGAATGGCAATCGAACGCATTTTTTAATATCAATAGTTCGTCAGTAAAATATTTGCGCCTCATGCCACATATTATTCGCAGCGATATTATTGCTAAAGGAATTTGTTTTCACATTTCATTCTCGTATATGTGTAAAGGTGTGGGTAGACCGAAAACAGAGTACCTATATGGTTTGCAATTAATAAAATATTTGAGATATTACCTACTCAAATATTTCCCTTGCCACGTAAAAAGCCATATTTTGTTAGCATATCAATCAATATACTTTGAAAAGTGTAGGAGAGCCATGCTTTGGCACGAATGGGTCGGCTCGAACGGAGTGATACCACGGCCTCACAGAAAACCGGCGTGAAACAACCACTGCGTTGTGTTTCGCCGTGTAAGTGAGGTTACCGGAGGCCCAATCCTTCCCCACCCCAATCCCTAAATCTCCAAATCCCTAAAATGTCGGTAACGTACACTCGTAACTCCTCCGTTGCGAGTGTCCATGGGCGGCGCTGATTGCTTACCAGCAGGTAATCCGTATGCACGTTTGCCGAACTATTACATAAAAAAAAGAAATACATACACAAATAGGTAGCCAAAACAAGTTAGTAGGAACTGCAAAGAAATTCTTAAAATTTTTACCTGCACTAAAATATAACAAATTATCAACAACAAAACAATTCAGCAAATAAAAAACACTACAGCAAACATACTAAAAAGAACACATTAAAAAATAATTTCCGAAGATAAGTTGAAACTACTGAGATTAAAAGTTTAGGTTTGACCCCTGGTGTAACATGGTCCGGAGTTAAGCTCTCCTAATGTCCTCTCAACCCCGTGGCCTTAATTTCTGTTAAACATCCACATTAATGGCTACAAATTTCCTCTATTTTATTATATTTAACCTATTTTCCGTGCTGATACGGCAACTTAGGGGCGTTTGGAAGATTTTCTTATCTTTATAGCTAGGTTAGTACCTAACATGATGTTCACCTGACCATAACATTACATCTATTCAGGATTTGCATTGTCTTGTTAGAAAATGGAGGACGGTATGATATTTTAGTTTTAAAAGTGTTAGTTATACCATGAAATTACCGGAGGCCCCATTTTACCCTAAAAGGAGCCCCTTATCTTGTATAGACAAGTCCCGTAAAGAGAGAGAGAGAGAGAGATAAAGAGATAGAGAGAGAGAGAGAGACAGAGAGAGATAGAGCGAGAGAGAGGGAGAGAGAGAGATAAAGAGAGAGCGAGAGAGACGGACGGTAATGACTCCTGGTGACATATAATTACCAGGTATGAAAAAATCGTAATCTCAAAAGCACTGTTTGGCTATTATTCTCATTTCAAAATTCTTATAAATTATTAAATTTCTGCCTACCTGTGTTGGAATGAAGAAAAATGTCTAGTTTAGTGTGTCTCTGTAATCTTTCTGTTTGTTGTTGGTTTTGTACCTTTCGCATGCCTTGTGGTAAAATGTGGCTGAACCTAATTAATATTTTTACGCCTTGTACTGTACCCATATTTGCGAAATATAGTATCTTATCTTATCTTAAGTGGCTAAAAGCTTCTGTTGTTTAGTCCACTAAACATATACATATACAATTATTCTTAATACTTTATTATCATTTACCCAAAGGTTTTCGACTGCTGCTAAAAGCGTTCAGTGCTCATCCCGTCGATGCTTAAAATGAACTATGGCTAACAGCTTAGTTACTAAAATGTGGTTTTTCATTAATATCAAATTCAATTTTGCTTTCAGATAGGCAAGTTAACTAAGGAAATTATTTAATTATAAAAGATCCGCTTGCAAACAGTATTGGATCCATAATAATAACACATCGATCTGCTGACCTACCCGAGTTATTATTACAACGCCGTACTATAGTTATCTTTGACTTCGGTCACTAGCTGTTAGAACTAATATGGATTTAAACGTCAAAATCGAACAACACAGGTATAATTTCTATTCTTTCTAAAATGTAATTGGGGTTTTTTAAACTATGATTAGTGTGTTGTGTTTGTGTTTGGATTATTCTAGTATCTTTCGAGAATTTCTCTATCAACGAGCCATGACAGTCTACTATGAGCCATAATATCCATGTTTAGTGGGTTGTGCCTCGTTTATGCTTATGCGGCGCGTTGCGTTCGCGTTGTTCGTCATACATTGATCATAATGTTCGTGTGTTTGTATTTGTGCGGGCGATGACGCCGACTGCTGCTGTAATGTACTGCAAACGTATAACGTGCCACGCGACACGAGGCCCAATAAACTACGTTACTACGTATGTAAATAAGCTCCCTCATCGCTCTTTTAATTTGAATTACCCATGCATGTGGCCAGTCAGTCTACACTACGTTTTTTTTAAGATAGGAATCCGTATTAGAATAGAGGGCAGTTTCCATTATAATAGAAAAACGGCATAGATACTTTAAGCTCAATCAACTTGCTTTTATTCATGATTTTTTTTCGTGTAAAATTCTTTATATTCGAGGAAATGGAATGTACATAAGTACAACAATGCACGGTTTTAACGAAAAATTTAATTGTTTATTAATTAAATTGTATCAAAAATTGAAGAGTACTTACATTAAATCTACAATGGTAGAAGATATAGTAAAGAAAATAATACAATTTAAATGGCGATTGACAAGGCAAAGCACTATGAAATGGACTTATAACAGAATGGCATCCACCAAAAAAATAAGGTAGGCAAGGAAGGAAATGGACAGAAGATATCAAGATAGTTGTAGGAACAATCTGGTCCAGAAAAGTTACCAATACACAAGACATGCTGATCACTGAAGCGGGAAACGCGATGTACTTACTATATTTAAGTTAATACAATTGACTTCTTATATGACAGCAATTAAGGGTAATCATAATTTATATTGGAGTTGTTGGATGAGTTAGTGAATTTTATATTAGCTCATCAACAATGGACACGAAAAAAAATATTTCTTTTTAGTACTTACTCTCACGGAACTTTTATTTCTGGATTGGTTTAGGTACCATATAAGAAATGAGAAATTCTTTCTTACCTCACGTCCATTTAGTGCGAAGGTCAGGTTGGCTGGTGGATGGGAAGGTGGCGAGGCACAGGTCGCGCGCAGTGTAGACCCCACTCCGTACCACGACCGGTCCGACACCAATTTTGGACCCCATTCCGGAGCCTCTGCACAACAAATTAACATTTTTTGAAGTTTCAAAGTTTTTGTTTGACTCATTTTGGAGAACAAAAACAGTAATGCATAAATGCAGTATTGTCAGTCAGATATTAAATATTTTCACGCCGTTTTTCTGTGAGGCCGTGGTATTACTCCGGTCGAGCCGACTCATTCGTGCCGAAACATGGCTCTCCCACACTTTATGTTGTTGAATATCTAAGTGAATTTCAGACTGGTCTTACGAAAATCTATATTTGAGCCCATATCGGACGTATCAAGGTTTCCAACGAGAGATCGAATGCTTCAAAATCACACTTATCCCCCACGACAAAAGAGGTATCTACTTATTACTTTGTACCAAACAAAAACATTAGATATAAGCAAAGAAATACGTATATATTGTCCTCTTTTTGTGCTCGGAAAATTATTATCATAACAAGAAAAACTTCCACTACACGTTTAAGAGCTGATTTGTAAAGATCGGAGGAAAATAAAGTTAGTTTTTCGTATGATATCGGATATGGATAATCTTCGGGGAAGTTTGACCCTTACTACATTAACATACATATAATTATTGTTATTTTGTCCTATTAGAAAACAAAAGTTTTGCAGCTATCTATAGCTAGCTATAGCTATCGACTAGCTGATTGTGCGATTCAGGTCTGTATATATGTAGTACTAAAATCACTTTTCAAAAAATCTTTCACAGGATGTCTCCTATCCATTCAATAGCCAGCATTGAACAGTATGTAATTTAAAGGAACGACAAAATTAGCTGGCTCTACATCGGCCAGACTCCGTCAGGATATTTGTGACCATTATGTAACCCAAATGGCTTTCTGTCGAATACAGGTCTCTCCAGTGGCGTCATAACAAAAGCCCGCAGGCAGCTTGTATCTACCCAGACTAGCCACCCTCTATGTGCCACTATTAAGCTTTATTGACTAAGAAAATGTGTCGCAGCTGGAAAGATTCCAACGCCAGCTTATCTTGTACAACACACCCTGATAAAATTAACATACCGGTCTATTAAAACTAAAGTGTCCTAAAAGAATACTTCCAACCTTTTTTTAACAAGCTTATCGTTAACGAAAAGGCTTTCGCCAAGTACGTAGCATCAATTTCGTTGTAAAATTCGACAAGGGCTATAAAAATTTCGTAAAATTTATTGATGCTGTTCTCTCAGCCAGTACACTCACCACAAAGTAACGTTGTTAAATTAATAAGTACCTACGTACGTGGTTAAAATTTTTTAATGAACTTGGTTACTTTACATTCGAGTTGTACGCGACGCTTGACATTCAAATGTAGGTAACTAACCACTCAGCTGGTATTTTGATAGCTGTACCATTTGCTAATTATCACTTCAGTGTGGTTAACGTATACTGTTTCAGACTGCGCGCAGAAACTTATATCTCGTTGCTACATATGTCAGTGTTGTAAGAGGCAAGATGAATATGACCATATTAGTTTGGTCTTGACAAAAACATGAATTTCCCTTTATATCCAACGCAGGAGAACACTCAAAAGCTTTCATGCCGCAGTTTGTGTAATGCCTGCAAAGGTTTAGCTCGCAGGTCAGTGGGACGTTTCTGAAAACTGAGCAATGTATATAAATGCTATATTATATAGCTAAAGATTTCTTAAAATAAGATAAGTATTATAGATATTAACAGCGATATTGAAATATAAAAATGTGGGTCGTTAAAATACTGTTGTATTACTGTGTATAAGTAAAATAGGAAAATACTCGTATAATATGGTTAATGTTTTTGTGTATCCAGTAGCCAACAAGCCAGTATGACGTTACCAAAAAGTATTTACTTATCTACTACAAATAAAAGTTATGATTAAATAAAATGAAGGTATACTTTGTTCAGAGCTATCACATTAATACAGGCAGCTGTGTTTATGGCACGTTTGTTTACCCTCCTTTGTGGGTCACGCCGTGTGTTCCAGATAGGAAAAAAAATCAAGGCGCTTACAATCAAATCTCTTTATATTAAGGGATTTGTTTTACTTTATGAACCCTCCCTTGCGTATAAATAAATTCCAACGAACGTTCCTGGAATACGTGATGTATTTAATCTCACCGTAATTATAAGGATGTGCGTCGAATATCTATCCACTCGCAACTATCACATAGGCAACCATTTTGTTAACTTTGTTACTTATATTATACCTACACGGAACATAGAATATGTGGCTCCTCAAATCTCAAGAATCCTTTGAAGCTAATTAATCCATACAACGGCATTACCTGACACAAATGAGCTCGTCAGCCGTGATTCATGGCGAAGAATCACGTCATGATGGGACACGTAAAGCTCTATAATTTAGAGAGGTGCGCGAATGTAGTAAGTCACATTATTATGGAGCCCGAGGGGCCTATTATGCGATGAAGAAATACAAAGTTTCGTGTTTCGTTTCAGAGTCAACGTCTATCGCGTCGTTCCCAGGGCCATTAACAAAATATTATGGCGGCGATCTTTGGAATCGCAATAAATACAAAATGAAGACCCAAAGTTTACGTCGGTTTAGAAGGAAACCGCATTTCTAGAAATCTGTAGACTAAAATCTTCTCAGAGAGTTTAATGCGATTTCTTCGATCTAAACTGCTGTAACAAGCTGTGCGGTAAGATGGATTTAGTGCGACAAAAAGTACCCGGCTGCACTGGATTTTTCAATCGAATTCAAATATCGAGAGAATATTTTAAATTTTATTTTCTAATGTCGTTATTTAACTTGAAAATGGATATGTATTTGTTGAATTGGTTTTTGATATGGTAACGTATGTACTAAGCAACCTAAAATTATTTTTCCATTTATTATTCTGTTTTTGACACCAGTAAGAACGTTTGTTACGTTTTTCGCACGTGCTTGGCGTGTATTAAACAGTATAGCTTCCGTAAAACATCATATTTCGGGATGCCTATTTCAATCAGAGGAACAAAATCACGTAGAGATTGCTACGAACATATTGAAATAAGATTCGTAGCCGTTCAAGAATTGGGTAAAAAATCAATATGGCTGATACGAGGTTTAGATAATAATAGTAAGTTATTTGCTGCTTCATTCATTTCAGAAAGTACGTATTATAGAAATTAATATGCGATGTATATATAGTTTTAACAACCAAGCAGACTTTGAAGAATCTATAATCTCTTCACTACTTGAAACGTGCCCAAAACATGCGTGTCTTATGTGTGCAAATATCAACCTCATTCGACACACGCAGGCGACTTGTCATTCACATAATCTTACACAATGCTAATAAAACCTGAGTAAACAGTTCATAGATATACAACCAACCACGAAAGCGCAACTAAGAAAGAATGAAAGGAAAATAAACTGAAGAAAGCTGCAGGGCACTTGGGGATTAATCTGCTTGGAATTTAACGTTTCACGAGGACATCTTACGTAGAATTTTGCAGAGCGAACAAAATCTCTTTGAGGAATCAAATTGTTAGAAGAATACTACGGCACTATGTAATATTCTTGTCTGTGTAGGTACGTGACATTTGTCGCGTGCGTAGATAATATGGTTTGTTCAATTTAAATATGTGTGAAGATTAAGTGCCTAAAGTGTCTTAGTGTGCTGTGTCTTAGTGTGTGTCTAACATTAGTATGTTGTCCTGTGTCGTTAGTGTGTTTATAAACATACAATTTCGCATATACATCATATTTTAGATTCTGAACAACAATTTATGTATCTTACATAGAAGAGTTCCGTGCGGGACCCGCGACACGTTACGCGGCAGCCAGTTGCATACCAACCGCACCAACTGTGCATTCGAAACTCAAGTGACATTTTGAAAATTTTGATCATATCCCAATTAAAATATTATCATACATATTTTTATAAACACAGAAAACATATCACAGCCATGTGTCAAAGTCCCAACTATCGAATCTTGGATATTATCTTTAGATTAGGAGATATTAATGAGAAAAATATATTTCATTATATTTTTCTCATTAGGTATTTTTTTGGAATTGAATGCGAAAAGTGTCATTGTGTCAAAGTGGTTTCTCAAATGACTAACAAAGCCGTAAGCAAACAGCTGCTCATTTCAGAATTACAGTTTTAATTCCAAGTACCTAAGCATAAAATACATGGCTCGAATGATTGGTGTAAGTGACTGGCGGTGGCAGCCCATGGATAATTGTCGCGTGACCATGAACAGTAGCGTTTGACGTTCCAAATGAAATCGGTAAATAACATGGAGGACGTTTTACTATCGATGTAAATACTGATACAGTTTTACGCAACTATGTATTTGTTTGTTTTTAAATTGACTGATTTAGTTGTAATTGGGTTAATGAACTTCGTAAACAATGTCATCGATATCGATGGAAAATAATTTTTTTAACACGTTAATTCGACGTAGAAATTGTGATTAGATTTTTTTTGTACAGTCTTGATATCTAGTAGTTGTTAAAAAACATGCCGAGTAAAGGACTTTGAGTTCTGTTTTTACCGAAACTAGGTTACAATTTCTTTGTGAGGATTATTTCTAAATGCCGTTTTGTAACTGGCTATTAGAAGAACAATTATTTAAATATCGAAGTTCGGATACAGAATGTTTCTAATATGCGCACTTCGATACGTAAAGAGCTTTTGAATATATTAACTTGAAAAAAAATATGCGAAACGTTATTCAATTATACCTGCAATCGAGTAGTAAATGAATACATTGGTTCAACACCCACTTTATTCAATTAGTTCGGCGTATGAAACAAAATGCCAAATTGTTCAAGTTTTAATTGATACGAAATCGTTTAAAACTTAAAAGTATTTTTTTAACAGTACCTACCTAAAATTTTTAATTAAGAGTTGTTTTTGTATAGAATTATTACTTCAAAAGAATATCATTTTCTTGTTTTTTTATTTGTTTGATGAAATATCGTCTACAGCTAATATATTATATGTATAGTAGCTAAAAATAGGTCAAATGGATATTATGCTACAAGGCCTAATGATAGGGGCGAGCCTGTTACATGGGTA